AAAGTGTGCAGAAATTCTTGTGGATGAATTTCTCGACTATTAAAATCTCTAACTGCATTTTCGTCGTCTTTCCTGGTGATTGCTTCCAAATTTCTCGACTATTAAAATCTCAAAATAACTGCATTTTCGTCGTCTTTCCTGGTGATTGCTTCCTAGCAGCCCGCCCCTACTGGCTTCTCCTTATGTGCGACGTAACGTAAGGCAGAGGGGTGTCCTGGGACAGCAGTGGCAGACAGGGCCCACGCAAAAGGCGAGCACGTGACCAGGCAGGTATTAGCAGGGATGTCCTGGGTTTGCAGGGAGAGAGTTTAATTTTAATTGGTCTTGGACAGTAAGGAAGGCCTCCTCCCTGCCCCACTGTCCACTGTTCCATTGTCAATGCTATTGAGTGTGCAGGTGTCTGCTCGAAGGCAGGTCATTGAGGTCGGCGGAAGTCAGGGCAACCTCAGCCACAGAAAGTAACCTATGGATCGCGATAGGAAATGGGTATTTCGGAGAGCATCCTCCCAACTCCCAACCGAAACAAACAAACAAACAAACAAACCGGACTTTGCAATATGAACAGAGACTCCGAACAACAAAAGCAAGCAACAACATCTAGTCTAACATGGCATATTTCTTCGCTGTTACAGATGCCGCCCGGCAAGGCACGCGTTGGCTTCCCATATGTGAACAGAGCCGAGGCATCACAAGATACATTTGAATGGAATGTTAACCTTCACTTAATTTTTTTTTTTTCTTTTCCCCGCTGACGACACAATTTTAGTATTATCACAACGGAGCTTCTGGCTGGAAAAGAATTAAATTAATGGGTGGATTTAAAAAAAAAAGCTTAGAAACTTAAAAAAAAATAAACAACTTTCAAATCTCTCTCCTTCATGGTGTCAAGAGCCAAGATAAATGTATTTCAATCGCAACTTCCAAACGAAAGTCACAAATTACTACCATTATGCTAAGTGTGAGCTACCCCACTGTGCAGCTTTGCTTTGTGAATTTTTACCTTCCCCTACGAACACTTTTAGCCGCTGATCGCACAGCCTTGCAATGTTTTCTGCCTTTTCCTTTAAATAAACTGGCTCTGGCTCCTTCCATCTGGTTCCCCTTCCGTCAGCAGCCCTGCACCTGTTCACACCTCCTCTCCTGTTGGATTCCACTGAACATTCCCTCCTCTGCCAGGGCTATTCTGGCACCCGCAACCTTTCTGTCATTCAATCCATCTGTCAGAAGTGAACTTTGTTTACCGCGAGCTTCTGCTTTCTTCTTCAAGAAGCAGAGCCCCTCAAGGTCATTGTCAAATGAACTGTCGGCCTGGATTCCCGTCCTCTCTCGCTCACCAGCAGCAGACGAGGTTCTGTTGTGTAATGTACTTGTGAAATTGACTTTGGGGTTCGGGGAGACAATAAATTTGGAGTCAAGGCAGTGAGAGGGGGTGTCTTAATGATCGTTTGTCGAACCAGACAGCTGATATGTACATTTCCTTCATGTGTCTCCGCACTTCTTATTATATCGAGCTAGGAACTATATGCATAAGAAGCAAAATAAAAGTTTTAAAGTGAAATCAAAATACCACAAACAAGCTTACACTGTGTAAAAATTGCTTCAGACTCTATAGCATTAACTTGAGGAATAAATATTTTCACTAATGAACTAGCCAAGGGAAAGAGTATTCCGGTTAAGAAATTTTCCACTGAAATGCTCAAAATGCACAAATGTGTACCATTTCAATTATGAGCTCTGTATTGACACACAGCTCCATCACTGCTTTGAAAAACTTAACCCATACTATACAAACCAATTTATGTACATTTTAAATTTCATCATTTTAAAAGTAAACAGTTCTGCTTACGTAATAATCAAATATATGCTACCAAACACATAATCTATCTCAAGAAATATAAGTCGTATCAAATGGCCATCCTGAGAAAAAAAAGAGGCTCCTAGAAATTAGGTGAAAATTATACCCCCAATTGAATTTATTCTGTTCTCTACAGCTATCGAGTATTCACCCTTCTTCATAAATCAGACATAAAATCACTTTATGTAGAATTATTTATCAGTATTTTAGACAATCAGATTCTTTATGAAAAAAATCATTTGATTCAAACGCCTTAATAAGAAAAAGGGAGATCACTTTGTAGGAGAAAATATATGGCAAACATTTTATGGTACTTCATTCATAACGCTGCTGTTAGATTATGAAGAATTATCTCAAGATCTAATCTTATTGCATTTGTTTTTATTAAGTAAAATTAATCAAGTCTGTAAAATTTTTGAAATTTTTTGGAAAAGAAAAAGTTAAGCTTCTTGCATTGACATAAAATTAAAAGCAGATTTTATTAATAAAAGCAGTCTAAATTACAGTAATTTAAAATTTGAAGTTTAAGGTTTTGATAAATTAAATATTTATAATTTATTTAAAAATATTTTACCAGAGCATTTTTCCTGATGTGTTAAAGAAAATTATTGTGATGCTAAATATAAAAGCAAAAACAAAAGAACAGGAAGGAAAGCTTAAAATCCAAGGAAAGGGGCATTCTTTTTCAGCTTATTTCAATTTTACTGCTCATCTCCAAAATCCCCTATAGCCTATAAATCATTCTTAAGTAATATGTATAAACAGAATTTAATATACGAATTTTGAAACCAAAATATGTTTCCTAAGAGGTGCTTTCTCTTTCATCTTCCTAAAACATAATTTCTAAATAATTTCTCTTTCTGTGGAGGAGATTTCAGAAATCCTGTCTAATTTGCCCAGTAAGTTGGTTACTTCTTTCCTGGGTATTTTCCCCTTCCTGCCGGCTGTGCTTGAGGACAGCTCGGTTACCTGGCCCCAGCCCTGCTTCTGAATAGCATGGGAAGGGGACGGGTAATTTGATCACTTGCATGGTCTGATTTGCTATAGAAAGGAAAGAACTATTAGCAAATTGCTGGTTTAACAGAGGCTGCTGAAAGCACCGTGAAGCAACCCTTCGAACGTAGCAAATTGCATTTCAAAAACACACGAGTAGGCTTGTGATGGAGAATTTTATGGTAAGAACATAAACAAATGAAAACCACTCCGTTTAACATCACGTAGAGTCACGCACAGATGCGGGAGTGTGCGCACACACACACGCACACACACACACACATGCACACACTTTCCCCTCCATAAATAGGAAGAGAAAGAAAGGGGAAATAATAGCATGATTACTTTTCCCCTCCATAAATACGAAAGAGAAAGAAAGGGGAAATAATAGCATGATTACTTTTACAAATGGATCATTTCAGGAATTCAGAGAATACTGTTTCTATTCATCTGCCTGATGTGTAACATGCTTATATTACACTTTAAATAGAAAAACTAGGGGAAAGTGTTCGGCAGTTTGATAGCAACACCTGAAACACACATTTTACAGGAAAAACACAGCATTGAAGCCGCGTTGCCAGGTTGCAGAGAACAGAAAAGCCGTCGTAAGGGCCCTGGGAGGCAAGAGCCGACGTCCCTCACGTTCTTTAATATCAGCTTCACTAAAACAGCACATGGGTGTGGGACGGGAGGTACAACATATAAACTCCTTCATAGAGATCGGACCTTCACCTCTCTGCATTCTGACTAACGGTTAGTTCCACTTTTCGAAGAATGGCACATGATGGGAACACAGTTCTTTTCTCTGGTTTCTATTTTTCTGCCTATCTCTTCATGGAGCCTTTGAACGTGAGAGGGTATCCATCCTTCCACCCGCTTCCTCAATCACCTGGAGGCCAGACCTGCTCTGGGATGTGGGAATGTTTGCAGGGCTGCAGGACAAAGAACCGATCGAGGGGGAAACGGGTTTGCGAGAGGCTGCTAAGAGTAGGAAGAGACGAAGTGACAAGTTTAAATCTGCCACAATCATTTACTAATGTGCTGCTACATCAAATAAGTCTAATTTTTTTGACAGCACCAAATTAGATTTATTGCAGAAACTGCTGCATAAATAGCATATGGCTGTGTTATACCACCTATTTCAAATCCTGGGAATGTCCCCCCGCCCCCTCCAAAATGAATAAATTGAGCCAAGCTACAAACCTCCTGCAAAAAAAGAAAGAAAGAAAGAATATACCAGTTCAAAAGCAGATGTAGGAGATCTGGATTTCTTTGTTCAAGTACTAGTTTAAGCACGAATGTCCCAATTCTATATTTAAAAAACACGTCTCCCTACTCAGTCATTAAATTGAACAGGTCAGGTTTTTGTTTTTTTGTTTTTTTCTTCTTTCATTTACTCAGAATGACTTGGTTTTTGTTTTACGGTTTGGGACTCTGCATTATGCTTAACACTCTGACGTTCAGGCCACAGTGACGCAGGGAGGAGAAGCAGGGCAAGTGGCTAAGGATCAAACACGGTTTAAACAGGTGACGAGAAACCGTGGAGCATAAACGCACACGTGTCCGGGTTGTTTTTCGGTTTTCGCTTGCGAAAGACATGTGTGGTGGAAAGCGGACCCGAAAGCCCTTTCGAGTGGCCACCGTTGCCCTGATCCTGCAAACTCTCTGATGCATAAAACATACAAAGTGACCATTCCACGCGCCGGCAGGACTGCAGAGCCGAGCCAACAGCAGAAGTCCAAGTTCCGTGGGAGCCGGACTGAAACCCGCACCCACATCCCCCGATGGACAGACAGCTCTTCCTTCCTCCATCTCCACCCTGGAGCCCGCCCCCCTGCCTGCCCCCGCCATACATCGCAGCTCTGTGCTTGTTTCGGAACAAAAGTTTCCGTCCTTCCCAAGATGGGAAAGACGTTGCAAGGTCTTCTCTCAGACCAATGGGCACACCACTGCCAACATCATGGCACTCGGCTACCCGCAGGCGCGCGCTCGGCGGTCAGTCCTCCCAGCTGCCCTATCTGTTACTGTCTGATTAGTTCTGCTAAGGAACCCCTCCCCTGCCAGCTTTCCGTGCCATCTGTTCCGTACATGATGGCTGCTGCCCAGCAACCCAGCACTGCCCTCCTACCTGGCACCCGGCTACCATCCTTACCCCAAAGTGCTAACACAGGTTCGCGCTGCTGGCAGCGGCAGCCTTTCATTACGACTACGTTGACAAGAGCAGGGTTGCTTGTAATTTCTCTTTTATCCTGATTTTGATTGTACAACCACCTCCCACTGATTCCGTTTGCTCCAGTTTTGTTGCTCACAGATTTTCCTCTCCACATTAATCTCCCTCTGGCATGTGCCTGCATCTGTTCCCTTTTTTATTATTAATTTTCAAATTCCCACCATTTTTGACAAAAAGGAGGTAATCTACACTCTGTTTCTGCCCATTTCATTTTCTTTAATTTGGAAGATAAGGGTGAGCGCCTGCCAGAGAAGTTAATTCTCCGTTAACAGTTTATTTGCTGGCATCCCTGGGCCTTTGTCGATGAGTCAGAGACAGGAATGAATGTTGACGGAATGACAACAACAGAGCCGCAACCGGCCCCGAGTTTAATGAAAAGCAAACAGAGGAAACAGCATCTAAAAAGTTTATTAGTTGCCCAAGTTGCCTCGTGCTGTCATTCTTCCTCCCGCTTTTCACAGATCATTAATGTCTTTGTGCAAATCGGTGTGAGTGCGGGAGCGGGGCTCCTCTGCGGACAGCGGGTCTATTTCCACTGCCCCTGCCTCTTATTGTTTCTTAGTACAATTGTCGTCTTTCCTCAACCCAGCCCTCGTGGCCTAAGTCACCAGCGAGTGGCTCTGAGTTGGTGCCTTGTTCCAGAAGCGGGTTGAGAGAGGGAACTGCCACTCGAGCAGCAGAGCGGAGCTGCTTCCAGCGGATCTTGTTGGACAAACAGTGACTATCAGGAGTGGCAGGTGGTTTTCCTCGGAAGACAGAGTCAGAGAACCGGAAGTCCGGTATTAAAGACAGACTCTGTGTCCTCCCTGGCCCACACCCCGCCTGGCCAACAAGGGCTCGAGTGATCTCATCGCGCCCCCATGGCCCTGGAGTTTTCTGGATTGAGCACTGCACTGTGACTGCTGTTAGTTGACTTTATATGAATCTGTATAATAATGTGATAACAGCACAGGAGTCCCCCAGTAAGGGAGCGACACCTCGTCTACAGAAACCTGATGGGGGTCAGTGCCTTTCATTCTCCTATGTGTCCTCATGGAATCACAATTCAGACACGAAGGGAATGGAGTGCAGGGGGAGACCGTCCCCTCGGTGACAGAGGAGAGTCAGAAACAACCAGGACCAGAGTCAAATCCAGCGACGCCCGGCCTGGGGGCCACACTTCAGACGAGCGTCCGGGAGACCAGCAGCCCTCGGTACTGCCCACCCACTTGTAATCCTCCTCCTGAACACCCCAGCCCCCAGCTTTGTAGACATTTCAGTTGTGACTTGTTACTTGACTCACTCCTTTTGCTGGTATAGTTATACACTGAGTGGCCAGATTACTATGACCACCCCATCAGTACTTCATTGACACTTCCAAAAATACTGAATATTGAAAACTTCCTAAGCAAATACTCTCAAGGTTTTATTATTATTATTATTTGCATAACTAATTCACTTCATTGTACTGATGGGGTGGTCATAATAATCTGGCCACTCAGTGTATTTATTTCTTTTGATAAACCCCCTGATCAGAAGCAGGTCCTTGGAGGAGACACAGGCAGGGTCTGAGGGATGCTGGTGCCCTCGGGGGAGGCATCTCTTTGGTAGCCTGTTTCTCCTCACCCCCAGCCCCACCTTCCCCATCACCAGTCGGGGTGCTCAGCCCTCCACGGGTGACCTATGCGGCTGGGAGAGGCCACTCGAGTGGAGGTGGGGCAGCCTTCCCTCGGCCGGACACTGGCTTTGCAGCGGCTCCCGAATGTTCTGAGCCCTTCGGTGCCCACGCCGAGTCCCTGGGGACTGTACTCCGGGAGCCGCACTCTCTGCTCGGCCAGGCCCACAGAGCAGTAGCTTTGTACCAGTGTGTTCGCTGGGACTGGGCCGGGCCCCCAGGGACGTTGTCCACGACGGGCCCTGACACGGGAGCCTCCAGGCCTCTGCTTTCTCGGATTCCTTCAAATCAGCTCTGATCCCAGGATCTACTGGCCGATGAGCCGCTGTCTCATCCACCTGCCGGCCTCAGGGAAACAGTAACGAGGGAGCGACGCCTAGCAATTGGTCTCACGGACACACCCAGTTAGGAAGGGGTGTTGGAGAAGGACTGAACATCGTTACATGGATGATGTTTCCATGCTTCCTTCACCCTAAGTTCATGTTGCAGATCAGAGCTTTCCTTTAGGAAAACATTCCTCGTCGTGCTACTGGGATCACAATCTCATGTTCTGTTTTCCCTGAACTTGGCGCTCACTGTTGAGTCAGGCACGGGGTGTGGGCAGCGCCTTCTCCATTGCCTCTGGGCTCCTTCAGAAAACGAATTGGCTGCGGCCACCACCACGCGCCAGGCTGTGGGCCTGGGCGGCAGGGGGAGGACTTCGCTGCACACACATTTGGGCTCCGGGCCTGAGAGGAGGGAGCCAGGGAGCATTAGGCAGAGCCCGCGGAGACGCATCCTGGCAGCCTGAGATCTGGCCTCCCGCCCCGGGCCTCGCGGGGATCGGGGTCCTCAGCCCTCAAACAGGCAGAGGGGGGAGCGGGCACGGGCCACGGGGTGTCCATCAGACAAAACAAAGTATCTTTTCTTCCCTGGCTGCCACTCTGGAACGGGGGAAGGCGAGGAAAAGAGGACGCAACTTAAAACAGGACCCAGGCCATCTATTTTGAGACTCGAGGATGTTGGTTGCACATATATCCACTTAAGATTATTTTTGACATGTTCTCTGCTTAATTTATTCATGCGAGGAGAAGAGGAAAAAACGCGAGTTTAACTTTTAAAGGGAGCTTCAGACTAAAAATTCTTCAATAAATGCAGAAGGGAAAAAAAAAAAGATCAAGTTCCCTGTTATACTATGCCGTACAGGTAAAGATGGATTGAAAGTTTGGTCTTTGTTTTATTTTATTTTTTTAAAATATATTTTTATTGATT